TGGATACTGACAGCAGGGAGGAGGCAGCTCCCAGCATGGTGGGGTCTGCTTGACCAACGCCACAGCAACCCAGGAGCAGGCAAGCCTGGCCCACAGGCAGCTCCCAGCATGGCAGGCCGTCGCTGCTGTGACCTGGGGAGCAGGCAAGCCCAGCCCTCAGGCAGCTCCAGCATGGCCTGCTTGGCCATGGCCACAGCAACCTAGGAGCAGGCAAGCACGGCCAGTAGACAGCTTCCAGCATGGCCTGCTTAGCTATGCCACAGTGGCCTGGGAGCAGGCAAACGTCGCCTGCAGGCAGCACCCAGCATGGCCTGCTTGGCTGTCACCTAAGCAATCGGGCAGCAGGGAAGCGCAGCCCTCAGGCAGCTCCCAGCAAGGCCTGCTTGACTGTTGGCCGGTGACCAGGGAGCAGGCAAGTCCCACCTGCAGGAAGCTCCCATTATGGCCTGCTTGGCAGTCACTGCAGTGTGGAGCAGGCAGGCCCCACAGAGAGCAGAGAACAATGGGGAGCAGGCCTAAGCCATCAGTGGGACATCCCCTGAGGGCTCCCGGATTGGTGAGGGTGCAAGTCAGGCTGAGGGACATACACACACACACACACACACACACACACCATGCACGAATTTTGCGCACCGGACCTCTAGTATATTTATATTCACATATATCTATTTAAAGAATGTATGCATGTACATATAGGATGTCCCAAAATTCACACAAGATTTGCAATTCAATTAAATTGCAAATCTTGCATGAATTTTGGGACACCCTATATATGTATACACACTTTTGGGAATATATATATATATTCCCAAAAAGATGTATGCACATACTTTTTTTGTTAATTCTTACCAAGAATATTTTTTTATTCATTTTTAGAGAGAGTATAAGGGAGAGGGAGAGACAGAGAGAAAAAAAAACATTAATGTGAGAGAGAGACATCAATTGGTTGCCTCCTACATGAGCTCTGACCATTGAGCCTGTAAACAAGATACATGCCCTTGACCAAAATCAAGCCAAAAACCTTTCAGTCCACAGGCCAATGCTCTATCCACTGAGCCAAACTAGCTAGGGCTGCACCTACATTTTTTGATAGCTCAATTGGTGTTGCTTTCTTTTTTTAAAAAAAAAAATTTTTTTTTCACCTGCTCTTGATGCCCAGTAACAGTGGCCACGGGAAGGCCACTTGCTAAGACACGCAGGCCCAGGTGGTTGCCAAAACAGTTTTGCTGCCAGAGGCACATGCCTGGGATCCAGGTTCAAGGCCAAGAGCAGGGGGGACTGAGCACAGACGGGGGCTGCCACACTCAGACAAGTGGGGTGCTGGGTCCTTGGTTGGCTGGCACCTGCTCTTGATGCCCAGTAACAGTGGCCACGGGAAGGCCACTTGCTAAGACACGCAGGCCCAGGTGGTTGCCAAAACAGTTTTGCTGCCAGAGGCACATACCTGGGATCCAGGTTCAAGGCCAAGTGCAGGTCAGGCAGGTGCCCTGCCCCCTCCAACACCTCCAAGGCGTCAGTGGAAGTCAGTCTCAGCAGAAATGCAAACTGTGTCTCAGAACTTGTGAATCCCAGGGGCTGTCTCCTCATGACCCTGCTTGTCCCACCCCCATGACCCTGGCGGCTTTCCCAGGAGAACCCAGTGTGTGCTGTCACCCCTCGCCCTGAGGATTGAGAACCCCCTCACTGAAGCGTTAACACAGTTGATGTACAGATTAGACAAGAGCCCTTCGGCATCTACAGGAGTCATGGAGTGTTTACGGTTTCCTTTGGCCCCAAAATACCTCTGAGGACCTCAAATTATCTTTTCAAAAATGACCAGAAACATGAATTTGAACATTCCCCACCCCAGGTCCCTTCCGCTGCCTCGGTGCCTCCAGGAGCTCCGGTGAACGGTGACGGTGCTCTAGTCTTGCTGTGGCCGAGGCATGTCCCAAAGCCGCGGTTCTGATGGAATGACGGGGATGCATCAAGGGGGCCTCTGCGGACTACGGTCACATGACTGCACAGCACAAGTTTTGCTTCCGGGCCGTTTTGTAGAAGGCTTTAGAGTGAATTCCCAGCACTTCGGATTTGGACACCAGGTCGTCTATCTTCTCGCCTCGTTCTAACAGGGACTCCATGGTGTTGTGCAGAATGATCTTGGTCTCATCTAGCTCATACTGCACTTTACTCATGGGGTCAGCTTCTCGGGGACTCTGGTAGGTACTAAGGTAGCCATCCAGGGCTGTGTAGTGGATCATAGCAGGGGATCCGACAGGCCAGTCGATCCTGTCCACCTGCTTGGAGAAATCATCCAGCACCTTCTCCAGCAAGGTCCGCCGGGGCGCCCGCCCGCCTGGGGAGCAGCGAGCAGCGCGGCCTCCGCCCCTCGAGACCACCCTGGTGTTGCTTTCTTTTCAAATTTA